GAGTGACTCCAAGCCTTTTCCTAAAGGTGAAGGTAGGAATCATCTTCCAAGATCTGAAGCCAGCAATTTAAATGGCGCTGAGATACATTTAAATGAAAGTCACAATAGGATTCCTAAACATATTTATGAGGGAAAATGTTACGCTTTATTTCTTCTACGTAAGTTTGCATTTTATGGGCCCTGTGAGGGCAGTGTCTAGTTGGTTAAAAGTATGAATTTGGGAGGCTCAGGGCTGGAAATCAGTCATTTCAAAACCTTGTCAGCTAAAAATTATATTTCTTTTACACAATTAAGAACAACATATATACTTTGCTTTTAGGATGAGAAAATTGAAGAATAACATATTTAGTATGCTATACCGAAGTGTTGCATTGGTGTGAAACAAGCTGAGTATAGACCTAGTGCTCGTGAACTACAGATCAATTTTGCCAGCAGATTGTCATATTTTACTAAATGTTTTTTATGTGGTGTATTCTACTTTCCTGATAATTTTGTTTGTACTACCAAATTTTCACTGGAAACAGCTAACTTTTTTTAATGCATTAAAAGTTTTGGCTAACTTTAATACTGAAATTTTACCTCTCTTTTCAGTATCAAGTTGGGCAACTTTATTCTGTGGCAGAAGCTAGCAAAAATGAAACAGGAGGTGGTGAAGGAATTCAAGTCTTAAAAAATGAGCCTTATGAAAAGGATGGTGAGAAGGGACAATATACTCACAAAATCTATCATTTGAAGAGGTGAGAAAAACATTGATAGATATTATGGTCACTTGGTGTTGAGCAAGAAATGTTTAAAAGTGAGGGCAGCTTTCCATTATTTACTGTTCTGTAGTACTTGTGTTTTTCACCCACTCTTTAATTTGCTGAATTGTGCATGAGTGCTCTGGTGAGTGGGAAAACATGTGAAATACGGTGCATTTTAAATATGTGGGATAGAGTAATGGAGAGCCATGTAAAATGTCCGATCTGTAAATAGACAAATGCTTCTAAGTAGAAATAAGTTGAATTCTTAGTATATAGCCAAAATGATGGGCTGGTATCACAGATGCTTTGTAGGATAGCCCAAAGGACAGGAATGTTGATAAGGAAGGATAGAGACAAGGACAATGGTTATTGCATCATAAAGGAAGAATGATTTTATATGATCTGGTCTTTGAGAAGGAGTTCTTATTGCCTGAATGCTCTTTAAAAACACTCTAAAAGGCATCACAGAAGTTCTTGTGGTGTGGTAGGGTAATGTTGTTCTGAGACATAATGAGTAAGGTCAATAATATCTTCAGAAGTTATGTGCATTGCAGAGTGGGTAAAACCTGGGTTATTTGGAAAACTGACCCTAATGGGGTCTGAATCTCTAGGGATTCAAGTCGGTGTTACTCCAGAAGCTGTGGTACCATAAAGGCAGCCATGTTGTTAGAGTTCATAATATGTTGTCAGATTGTGAGCATTAGTATTCCAAATGTTTATAATTGGGGAAAAAAGATCTAAATAGTTGCAGAGCTGGATACGTTTGCAGTTGGCTGCAGTTCGTTTCAGGTATGGTTGAAATGATTGAATGGCCTTCCATCCCGGCTGCAGGCCAGCCAAGTTACAGGCTACCGATGAACCTGCAGTTTTGCTAGAGAGTTTGGAGGTGAAATCTCTTGGGCAGTGCCCTCCCTCAACAGTTGTCTTTGTTGGTCGTGAAGAGAAAAGAAACTACAGCTTTCATTGTGATCGTAGTGCTTCCGAAATTATTTCTAGCTCACTCTCAATTATCTTACTACTTTCTCCATTTATTTTCTGAACTATTTTGTGATCAGTAACATTGTTGGAGTTCCTGCATATTTAACTGTGGATAACTTGCACGTCGTAACCTTTAAAGTGCTTAGGTAGAATATGCCTTTCTTATTAGGGTAGAAGAAATCAAGGAGGAATTTCAGCTGGCAGAAATTTAAAAAATGTTGTCAATATTTGTTTTTTCACAGTAAAGTTCCTGGTTTTGTAAGGATGATTGCTCCAGAAGGCTCCCTGGTGTTCCACGAGAAGGCTTGGAACGCGTATCCCTACTGTAGAACAAGTAGGTCTCCTGGTGTGTGTTTTGCTATCAGGGTTCAGTCAGGGAATGCTCTTAAATAGTTTAGGAGAAAAGAGGGTGCCATCAAGTGGAAAATATATTTCAAATGTTAATGTTGTCTTTCTGAGATCTTCTCTCCTGAAAAGGAGAGCTGCTTCTGAAGAGCAGCCTCAATGGAGCAGGTTACTGCTTCTCACGGAGTCGTACTATCCAGCGTCCCTAGGACAAGACTGAAGAGGTGATTCTCTTAAAGTCTAGAACAGAGCCTGTTTGAAAAGAACTTATTTCTTGGTAGTCCATTAGAGTGAAGTGACTGCTTTGTTTTAATACTTTTAATTGTGTAAGTTCTAAGAGGAAGCTCTGTTTCTTTTGTGTTTCTGTTGAACAGTTTCAAGTATCTTGTAACAAAGTTCTAAGATTAAGGCTAGCAAGTCAAAGTCTGCTAACTCTGCTGACTTGATGCACATAAATGCTGTTAGACTAATTTTGAATGTTTCTTATACTGTGAAGCTATCATATGTGAGGCTTTTCAGAAACAATTGTACCTAATAATGCTTTGTGTTTCCTTTTCATTTTCATTGCACGTGTTTCCAATGACCAGTTGTGACAGTGAGTATTTGAATTACTATCAGTCCTATACTAGATTTTTGAAATATATTTTATCTGTTATTACTGCTACAATTGACTCTGATTCTAGCAAGCTAGCTCCAACCTTTCACGTGTCTTGCCAGGGATCCTGGCATAGAGCTCCTTGTTACTTTATTTGTCGGCACTTAGCTATAATTAGAAAGAACTGTAATTTGTCAGAGAAGTGCTCTCATTTTTTACATCTTCTTCTATGCCTTTATTTACCGTTACAGCTATATAATGTCTGTCCTGGTAAGACATAATGCTAAAAAAAAAAAAAGGAAAAAAATGGGCGGGGGGGGGGGGGGGGAGACAAATAAAGGAAAAAATTGGGCGGGGGGGGGAGGGGGAAGCCAAATCAGAGGTTTCTACACTCGTGAATGCAGGAATAGCAATGAAATTAAATCAGTCCCTGTCTGAAATCCCATTTCTGTAAAGTGAAATCCTGCCTCAGTTAAAATGGGTTAACTGAGAATCTAAGTGGATCATTGTAGCTGGGTGCTTGGAGGGTTTTGGTTTTTTATTTAAGATGTGTGGGAAAGAGATCATTAAGGCTTTATTTCCTCGTGTAGATGTTTTGGTGACCTGTTTAAGGAAGCTTGTAAATTTAATGTTAAATTGCTTTATCTGCTCACTTGCAAACTTGATTTAGATTGACGCTAGGTGGATGCAACATACAGAGTATGTGAACTGTTTAGCTTGACTCATGGTGATACGTGTGCACACTGGTGTATGCTTTCTTACTTCTGGAATTAGAAGTGTTCTGTGCTAGTCTCTAGACATAGAATTTAGGGGTTGCTGGACCTTTATGATCATAATTGTGCCATACAGGAACATCTAATGTTTATTGGCTATTACCCCTGCCTCTCAGAATAGTCTCATTTATTAAAAATTTCATCCAAATGTATTTTAGTTGTTTTGTCTTAACCGCAGTATTAATAATTTGAAAATTACTCATAGAGGTAAAGAATTTCAGGGTTGAGGAAGAAAAATGGTAAATGACAGTATTTCTGTTTGTATGCACAAAGTTAGAGTTGGATTTCTCACACATGACTGGTTTTCATTTAGTACTTACTGCTGTAGCTGATTAAAATTCAGATGCTACTTATCATACCTATTTCTGTGTGTAAGTAAGGGGGCTATTTCTTTATAATTTAAATAGAATGTGTTGCTAGTCAAGGATTAGTAGTGACTTATATGTAAATAGCATTTTTTGAAAACTTAAGCAGAGGTGTAATTGGACTCATGCTTTTTGATTTTAATTCTTACAGAATGAATACATGAAAGATGACTTCTTCATAAAAATTGAGACCTGGCATAAACCAGATTTGGGGACATCAGAGAACGTGAGTTGGGATTTGGATACCGAGCATTAGCAATATTTTCACCATGTAGTCATCCAGATAAAGCGTTCTATACTTGGTAATGGTGGATAATTACTGCATAAAGTCAAAGTCCCATCAGTGTTTAATGTAAACCAAGAAAAGCATTATTCACATCCTCCTAAGGTGGTCAAGCTGTCTCACCTAACAAGATGCAAGAACAAAAAAAGGTTTTTATTTTTTATGTTGAGGTCAATGCAGATGCTTGGTTCTCACCCACATATTTCAATAAGTTTTCAGTAAGTTTTTAATTTCATATTCTTTTACCTTAGACATGCTAGTGCTACTTAGGCTGACAAGTTTGTTTGAAAACAGGTTGCACAAGGCTGTTGGAGTTTGTCTTTGTACGCTTCTGTAGAGTTATGTATTGAAGCTGCCTCTGTAAATTTTCCAGGCTGGCAATCCTCCCTAGACAGTTGATTCAATTCACAGGTCTTTTCAGGAGACTTTTTTTGTCTATAGTGACAAACATAGTTATAAGCCATCCACAAAGGAATGGTGGTCATTGTACTTTCAGTGCTTGTATGAACTGTAGCACAGGATATGCTACAGAGGAGGAGAGTATCTCTTTTCAGCTCTGCTTGCTGTAACTGTAAGTTTAGGTTATGCCTAACAGACTGCAGGTGTGAAGCTGATTGCATTTTCAGGCCTTTATATACCTTCGTGCTGCACCCACTTCATCTGGTCCATATTAAAGGCAGCCCTACAATTTAAGGAACCTACTAGATTTAGTCAGGTTATTGAAACCTGCCAGATTTGCACTTTGGAATTTGTGCGGCTTTTCTAGATCAAAAAGCTCATGCAGATTACTGAATGGGTAATGTTTCTAATTAGAGCTTGATTTCATTAGCGCTAACAAATGTGACAGAAGAATACAGCTTAATCTTAAATCCAGGTTTCCTGAAGTGAAGTCTTTGTGCTGGTTTAAAATTGGTTAGTGAGTGAATTAAACTGTAACTGTGGAGATTATTCCCTTTAAGAAAGGCAGACGAAGAAAGCATAGATTTTGAGAACACTGCCTTTATGAAGTCCCGAAAAAATCCATGGCACGCATACATGCTGTGTAAGGTGCGCCACTGTGTAAGGTGACAGCATGGAAATCATCCCTTTTTCTCTTTTTGCAGGTGCACAATTTAGATCCAAACACATGGAAGAGTGTTGAAGTTGTCCATATTGACATTGCAGATAGAACTCAAGTAGAACCTGGAGTAAGTAAATGCTCTGCTATTGGGATATGGCTGTAGGATGCAGCTAATTCCATTGATGCTTTGTGTTGATTGTGAATAACCTAAAATGGTATGGATTTTACCCAACAGATAAATGAAAGTTGTCTTGAATGGAGTCATTCATGCCAAAGTTCCACACTTAGTAAATGCATTTACAACTTCATTCTACTGAATTTGACTTCTAGTTGCACAACTAAGACATGAAGGGCAACTGACTTTTGGCACAGGTGTAGTTTTTACTTTCAATTGTAGATAAAATAATTGATTTGGTCAAGCAAGCATTTGTGTGCTCATCTTGGTGTGTGAGACCAAGCACAACAATCTATCCCAGCTGTCCTGCTTAACAGAGCACAATGTCTCTACTGAGATACACCTGTGCTTCTGCTACTACTTCTTGGTTACAAATTCTTCAAGTCACTCTGGTGTTATGGCAGTCTCAAGAGGATCAATCAGGTTTTGCCATTGAAATCTAGATCTGGGGTTTTTTATTATTTTTAAACTTTGTTCATCAGAGTAGTTGTCAAGACATGAACTGCTCATCTCTTCTGAAAGCTGTGGGATTACTTTTTCAGTTTTGTCTTTAGTGATTGCTTTGGCAAACATAAGTGTCCTGGATGTACCCAGAAGTCTGTCCATAGGAGCCTGTGGTCTTTTCCCCAAGAACTTGAAGCTTAATAAATGGATATAAGAAGCAAAAATTTAGAAGGACAGATTTTATTAGTAAGAGAACGTGATTACTCAGTGAATTTGGACATGACGCATAGGTATAAATTCGGAAGGATTGTCTTTACCAGGATTCTGTGGAGTCCGTGTTAGCTTGCTTACATGTGATGGAAGTAGGCAGCTGGATGAAGAAGTGAGTGTGGCAAAGTTTAGTGCTGGGCACGCACGCTTTCAACTTGTCTTTTCAATAGCACTTAGCACAGAAGATAGTTGTACCCTGAATGTGATTGTATCAAATTCTACTGGAATAAATACATGAAGGGATTTTTAGTTAAGTTTTATCTGCTGTGTTGAGATTTTGCTGATGGGACAACACTTAATATTCATAATAATTCCCATTCTTTTCCCCTCTGTTGTCTTTTTTTTTTTTTTTTTAACCAGCTCATAGTTGTATGTTTGTGTTTAAAGGGACCTCACAGCCCGTCTAGTTCCACCCCCCTGCCATGGGCAGGGACACCCTCCACCAGCCCAGGTTGCCCAAAGCCCCATCCAACCTGGCCTTGAACACTGCCAGGGAGCCAGGGGCAGCCACAGCTTCTCTGGGCAACCTGTGCCAGGGCCTCACCAGCCTCACAAGGAAGAGTTTCTTCCTAATATCTCATCTAAATCTACCCTCTCTCAGTTTAAAATTGTTGCCTCTTGTCCTGTCACTACAGGCCTTGGTAAAAAGTCTTTCTCCATCTTTCTTATAAGCCCCCTTTATGTATTGAAAGGCTGCTATAAGATCTCCCCAGAACCTTCAAGTCTCCAGGCTGAACAACCCCAGCTCAGCCTTTTTGCACAGCAGAGGTGCTCCAGCCCTCTGATCATTTTCATGGCCCTGCTGCAACAGCTCCATGTCCTTCTTGTCCTGGGGACCCCAGAGCTGGACGCAGTACTGCGGGGGGGGGGTCTCACCAGAGCAGAGGGGCAGAATCCCCTCCCTCAACCCCCTCACACTGCTGGGGATGCAGCCCAGGATACAATTGGCTTTCTGGGCTGTGAGCACACATTGCTGGGTCATGTCCAATTTTTCATAGTGTGTATGATTGATCTGAGTAAGGAGGTAGGATATGGATGCTGCTTTATGCAACTTTAGAGGGCAGCTTCACCGTACTTATTTATGTGGCTATCTTCCTTGTTTTTACTGCTGTTGCTTTCACATCTGTGTCTACTGGGGTTGTTGTCTGATTTGTTTAATTGTAACAGTTGGACTCATGTAATCATTAATTTTTGGATAGTAGGAAAATGGCATGCACTAATATCGACACAACAATTTATGTTCACACAATAAATTTGATTGTCTTGGTTTTGTGCAAGAAGACGTTCTTTATACTATTTAATTGTTATTTTTTGAAAATAAATGCTTGGATATCCTGCAGACTCCTTTGGAGAAGAGTAGAGGAGGGAGGGGAAGGGCTGTGGTCTGTGAAGGGGAAGGGTTTCTGTGTCATAAATTTCCATTTGCATTACCAACCTAAGTGTATAAACTGCACTGTTCCTTAAGTGATATTTAACAGATGATCTGTGGATTTACATGTGTCAAAATGCATTGTTTGGAGAACCTCCCTGTAAACAAAACTAAATGTCTTGCCTATTTTGATGCAACGAGGAATGGTTTTGCTGCCGCTTGTTCTTTCAGGCATTCCATATGACCTTAGAGCTGAACTGGCAGGTAAATGTATGTTGTGCATTCCCTGTTCCATGCCTGGAATTGTGGCAGACAGCTACAATGCTGTCATCTGTCAGAGTGCTTGCTTGATCACAGAATGTGTAAACAAAGGGTTGTGCTTATTACTGTGTGGTGAAGTATTTATTGTGTTTGAAGTACTCTTAGTGAACAGCACTGCTTATGCTGTATGCCCTCTTGCACTATTAGATGACATGGCCTGCCTTTGATATTGCCAGTTTCCTTTGTGCTCAAGTCTGACAGATGGTGGTATGCTAGAAGAAGTTATATTTTTGGATCAGAACAAAGATCCATCTAACCCAGTGTCCTGTTAGTGGCCAGTAGCAGATGCTCGTGGAATGAACTTGGGGAAGTGTAGAATACTAGAAGCTGGGAGATGCATACCTCTGAAAGATCAATCTGTGTTTAAAGGACTTCCAGAGCCAATGGTTATATCTGGCCTATTGCGTTTATTAGCCACCTCTATGCCCATGAGCACATCTAATCCATTTTTGAACCCATTGACACTTTTGACCTTTATAGCATCATGAATTCTGTAGTGTGTTAGATGGTGTGGAGGAAAAAAATACTTCTTCTTTGCCTGGCTGATCATTTAATTGGAGTGGGGGGAGAGCAATGTTTCCTATTTATATTTTCTGCACACTTTATCTTACAGATGTTGATTTTTTTTTTTTTTTCCCCCACCTCTTCTTTAGCTTATCTTTCTAAGCTGAGGGTCCTTATCTTTAAGTCCATCTTCATGTGGAAGCCATTTCATATGTCAAAATCCTTGGAACTATTTTCAGTACATTATCCTCTTTTTTTTTCTTTTTCTTTTTTTCTTTTGTGTATTTGACCTACAGAGTATCTAAACTGTGAGTGCAGAGTGGTTTAATCTAGAGTCTTAAGTCTCTTCTGATGTTTCTACATTCTCTTTCTTTTTTTAGTAACTTCTAACCATTTACTTTTTTAGCAAGTATTTTCAAATTCAAACTCACAGTATAGCCCATCATTGTGTAGGAATACCTGGGACTAATTTTCACCATGTGAATCAAATTTTCATTTCCATTTCATCTCCCAGAAATGCAGTTTTGCAAAGTCCTGACTTTATTAAACAAAGACAGACTTTGTTCTCAAACTTTCATGCAGACTTTGATAACTCTGAGTTAGCTGTAGGCTGACACCCTTTCCACTCCACTTCTTTACCCCCTTTTCTGGACAGTTAAGGATTAGTTAGCAGAAATTCTCTGGCACCCACACTTGTAGTCTCTTCTGTTATGAAAATTTGCAGTTTCTGGCCTTTGATTTCTCTCTCTTTACTGCTTGTGACTCCATGTGAATGATTTTACATTTATGCTAATATCTTTAGCTAATGGCACTTGAGGAATTGGGGGGGGAGTTCAGCTACATCATAGTAACAAAATTGTCTTGATGCATATGCTTACTTTATGCCTTCAGAGAAGGCTGCTGGTTTTGGAAAGTAAATGTCCCCTATGAAAGCGTTAGCTGTTTTGCCTGGAAAAGCAACCCAAATGCACTATCTTGGATAACAGTATGACCAAAAGAATGGAACTACATTTATAAGATCCAGCAATTTTGATAGAAGTTTTCATATATTCAAGATTTATCCTCGTGTTCAGTGAATGAGCCTTGTCTGACCAGTTGTAGTGTGTCAGTTACTTTAGTTTCAGAACTACAATCAGCATAAATATAAAAATAGTAAATTTCTTTAAGATACTAATAGCATGCATATGCTAACTCATGCTCATTTACGTATGTATAGAAATAATTTGGCTGACATGTGTGGCTTTCTTTAGATATAAATTTAACCCTGCCCTCTCTTAATCATCTCCAGCATACAATCTATGTAGCTTTATGTGATTTGTATATAAAAATCATTTCCCAGGAGAGTAAAACTTTTTAAAGAGTAAGCAGAAGTGAACACTCAATTAACATCAGAAGAGGCTACGTTTTTGGAAACAATTTGTAAGAAAGTAGAGGGTAGTGCAAACAAAGAAATTGAAATCAGGTTTATAGCTGGTTTTGTACGATGAAGAAATGAAGTCTTGTTCTAGGTCATAGTGGATCTTCTTTATATTACTTGAAACAATGCTCTCAGAATTTTATACAGATCAGTCAAATTACTTAATGCATGCATTAAGTACTAGAGATACAGAATTTCTATCTGCTGTGCAGTAAGTACTACCCTTGTTCTACAGTTTGAAGAAATATAATGGAATATAGGAAATGCTCTTGTGTAGTCTGTAAGAGAGTGTTAAAAGATTCTTGAGACAAAGAGCTGTTTTTCTGATAGGTGGATCTCTCCCATTTTAGACTTAATTTATCGTGTGATAGGTATCTAAAAAGTCTATATTATTAGTCCAGAAGATTAGTATCATCATGCATTTTCTTGGCAATAGTCTTGGAACATCTTATCTAGGTCATAAAGTTGACTCTGTGTAGTAGCAAAAGGATCAGAATTTACCTCTTGTTCTTGATTTTGTAAAATAAACTATTTCTTTTTGAAGAAGCATGAGAAAGCCCTATTGACTTAAACCGTATTTTTGTTGGACTTCAGTTCTGCGGGACTGTCTTATTTTGGTGCCTGGGT